CCCCCCCCCCCCCCCCCCCCAAAAAAACGGACGTCGTCGGAACCTCACCACCAAGATCCACATTCAAACTGCCACCGAAATCGTCAACACCACAAAAACCTGCACAACAAGCACCACCTGCACCACCAACCACCACCACCTAACCCCCCCTCCCACCAAAAAAAATCGACGTCACCACAACCTCACCAACAGAAACAAAAACCAAAGCCTGCGCCACCTCATTGCCACCACCACCACCATCGCTGACCACCGCACAGTAGATTGCATAAAAAACAAAAAAATTGTAGATGTTGGCAGATCGACGTTGTAGATTGGACCAATTTGACCATCGCAAATTCAACCACCGCACAGTGAGGTTGGTCTTCGTCACAGTGAGGAGTCGACGGAGACGACAGAGAGAGAGAGGAGGCGTCACAGTGGTCTTCGTCGATGGAGACCGGAGATGAGAGAGAGAGAAAGGAGGCGGGAAGAGAGAGAAAGAGGGAGATGAGAGTGGTAAATGATTTTAGGGTTTTGGGGTGAAATTTGTATATATAATATTTAATATTTAAATATCAAATACCTGATTTTTGAACAATCGAACCTTCACCCCTGATTTTTGAATTTGGATCTTCAAAGGTAGAGTTTTGTGTAATTTTCCCTTCTCAGATTTCTCGCTCCAAATGGTCTTAGGCTGGCAATATTTGGAGGCTTCTTTTAAGGCCTTGTCTCCCCAAGAGCCTGTGACGCTTTTAAAATTTGTCAAAATTAATTTATTGAGTCAACTAACGGTCAAACTAACAGAAATTATCCATTTGGACCTCATGTGCTAATTTTTGAAAGGTTGGAGATTGTGGGTGACACAAATTGAAGGTTAAGGTAAAGTCTGCAAAAAAGTAATAAGTTTGGGACCGCTTCTACAATTATCCCTAAAATTATTTGTTGATCTTGAACTATTCAATTAAACAAAAAGAAAAAAATCACGAATAACGTTAATAATCAAAAAATATTTGCATTGCTACATTTAGCATACTTTTCAAACTCTTTTTTTCTACGTACTTATTTTTAACTACATATTCACACAACAAAATATTTTGCACATACTGCTGATAATCACTATTCAATTTTTTTTTTTTTTTGAAAAGTATGATTGTCAAATAAGGGTTTAATGAAATGAATTATGAAATTTCCTAGTTAGTATAATTAATTTCGATAATAGGCTAAGACAACTTTATGAAATTGCCAAATTAATGCATAAATGATGAAATTTTATATATTATTCTTAAGGACAATTTAGGTTAGCACTATTCAAACTAAAATGTGAAGGAATGTTTATGATATTATCATAAAGGTAATGGATCTACGATGTTATCTAAAATAAATCTTTTTTTCCCCTTTTTATTGACAATGCCATCATTGACATTTAGGAAGTGACATAACATGGCCAATTTGCCTTTTTTTTTTTATATAACCGTGTATGTTCAGACCACGGGACCCTGAAGTTTACAGCCGGTACTCACATCAGTAGCCTTGAAAGGACTTGAACTAGTGACCATTGAAGAGCAAACTCAAGGCCTGACCAATTGAGCTACCCCTCAAAGTTAATTTGCTTATTTATGGATGCTCAAATATTTTCGTGTCCATTTTTCTCTCTTTATCTAACGTAGCATAACTTCTTACGTATGGCAAATAAATAAAGATAAAAAAAGGAGAAAAGTGGTCCACCTTAATTCTTAGAGCTTGTGTAGAAGTGATTATATAAAAAGTAGTTTTGAAAAATGTGTGTATAAGAAATAAGAAATAAAAAGGAAAATCGGGGGGGAATGAGTGCAAAGAAAAAGTGAATTTCATATAACCACTTTCAAACAAGCGATTAGGTTAGAGATTATTTCATGTGACATTATTTATAAAACGATGCAGTTGAGTTAAATCAAAACTCAGCCTTACTTGTACAGAATATTGTAAGATTGAAACAACCTAATGAAAAGTCACTGCCTAAATTGAAAAACTAAGAATTAAGAACCTTTAGTAGAATTACCAGGTAGATCATCTTCATCATGGTAGATGTTCTCTGCCATCTGCCAAATTTGTAATATGTTATCCTCAGCTACACTAGCAACAACCCAGTCCTGACAGGGGTTCCATGAGAAGTCTGAAATTTTACTAGTGTGACCACCATGAATAAATAACAACTCCGGGGGGCCATCTTCAGCATCCTCTGGTGTCTGTTCTTCATCGATCCTAGTAAACAAGAAAAGTGAAAAGTTAGTTATGGGTTCAGCAATTTTCATCTGCAGATCTCTCTAATTAATGAACCAGTGCCTCAAATCAGATGAAATTGTCATAAATTTCATGTGTACACGCAGGATAAATAAACTTGCAAGCTTTATGGAAATACATCAAGCTTGCCTCCATTGATCCACAAGTTTAATAATTAGATAAAACAATAAAAAAAACAGAAGAAAAAGATTTATAAGACAACACGGTAAAGTAACTTGTGAAAAGGTTGAGAGAGAATCCATGAGAACTGGAGAGTAGAAGTGGAGTGAACAGGTAGCAAACTGAGGTGACTGCGAGGAAGAAAAATGGCAACTTTATTTTTCATTATCCAGATTAGATTGCTTGTAAAACCAACAAGACACGTGGTATGGTAAGAACCAAAATATATAGAAATGCTACTTAGAGGTCAATATGAGAAGAGGTGAGAAGCTCTTGGAAAAATTAACAAGGAAGAAAGAATCCTCGATAAGAAGTCAAAACTAGAAACATCATAGATTCAAATACACGACATTAGAATCTTTCACACGCGATCTCATAACAAATTAGCTTTCTCATTACATTCAAATTACCTGCTAAGATCCCACACCATGATCCTCCTACCGAGACAACAAGAAGCTAAGATGGTCTCATTCTTTGGATTCCATCCAACCTGGAAAACCTCTTCCCTGTATTGCAATGATAGTAGTATTAAGTTAACAAAAATATTGATCGACCAATTCATGCCAATGTTCTTATAAAGTATGCCCCTGTTTGGTGGCCATTTTTTTTTTTGGAAAAACATTGTTTTGAATAGTGAACTTTTGAAGAATGTCCGATTAAAAAGTAGGGAAAAGTTTTGAATTTACATGTAGAATATTTCATAGTGTGAATGTGCAGTTGAAAATGCGTATGTAGAATAAAGAGTTTTGAAAGAATGGGAGACAAACATAGGTTATATATTATGTGATTAAACGAGATTGTCAATGGGCAGATTGCCAATTAGTAAAATCATTGAAAAGCCGAAAGCAAGAAATATCCCTTACTTGTGACCATCAAAGTTGTGGAGTGCAGTAGAAATTTTTCGAAGATCAAATAATTTAACAGTCTTGTCAGTTGAGCCCGTTGCCACAACCCACTCATTAAAGGGATTGAAAGCTAAACAGTTTACCTACCAAAAGTCACCCCAAAAAAGGTAATTTACTGATAGTATACAAATGCCAGAACACATATAATGGAAAAGATAATTATATAAAGGACCATGTGTCCGAAAGAAAAACCACTGTAGTCTCTAAAATGGACAAGGTCAAATCCAACATAGACAAAACTAATCTCCTTTCCCAGAGAGAAAGGGACGTTTAAGGACAATATTAAACTAGTTAGACGTGCTGAAAACCAGTACATTAAGAGAAGTATGTTGACTGCCAAAACTATTAATTCTAAGTTAAACGTAGTGTCAAGAACGGGTTACAATATCAATTCATGAATAGAGATAAATATGGTAGTACAACGCGAAGTGCCTTCAGGAATGATCATAAATGTCAAGACAAATCCTAATCAACCTAAGCCAATACAGTTTCTAATTTTAATATCATGTCTTCACCAGCCTTCTTTAGTGAAAGTAGCATGCTCGTTCTCTGCAGATCTAAGCAATATGTGATTTGTACGAAGGGAAAAAGATGACTACTGTAAACAAAAGTCTGACCATGTAAAATTTATCTAAAAGTTGGGAAGACTTGACATGAACTAGAGAATGTCTCTTGCACTTCTATTAGGACTTAATGACCATTTATCTGCCGCCACTGACGAACAAAACAAAAATCAATCTTCTACTGTTTGTATATGCTAATTCAAATTATACAGCAGTAAACTTAAAGTTGTAACAAAGCATCTGATTGTCTAGAGTTAATATCCTAACTCAAACAGAAAGAGATTACATGGTAGCACATACATTCTCCTTCTATATGGACTCGAAGACATTTTTAATCATTTCAAACATGTTTAAAATGTCAGCATCACAGTGTCATTAATATTTATGTAGTACTCACAGGAATAATTCCAATCTGTCTATCCTTCAAGTGTATAGGAAATTATGACACCCACCTCACTTTGATGAGAAACTACAGATTGAATAGGCTTGCTGACTGATGGAGAACGGAGATATATGACACCCACCTCACTTTGATGAGCAACTACAGATTGAATAGGCTTGCTGACTGATGGAGAACGGAGATCCCATATATGCAGATACTGATCATCCCCAACTGAACCAAACAAGTACTCATGCCTGAGATGCCATGCTACATCTTCGACAACTCCTTCATGAATCTATCTTAGCATGAATTAGATTGTTATAAACAAAACCACGCATGTCAACATTATGAACTTGGGAATAATATCACAGATGTATAAATTTTTCACACATCGCAAATCAGAGCAAGAATATTGCACTTATAAGCATGCTATTTATTTACTTCATACCTTAAATATCTGCATTGCATCTAGAGCCTTATTTTTGGGAGTTGCATTGATGTCCCACAAACATATTTGGGCATCATCAGAACCACTCAATAAATGACCATGCTTGAATTGACTCCAGGACAAACCATACCCTTCACTATTGTGGCCCCTCAGCCTCAGATCAGGGTTGCATGCACTGCCTACAGGGGGCTTAGATGGATGTTTGCTATAATCAAATACATAGACCTCTGCACTAACTGTTTTAGTGGCAATAACAAATGGGTTTTGGGGCATATATCGAGCCCGGTTGACCTCTCCATCATGATTGATTTGTTGGATAATTTGCACCTGCAGGAAAAATATACTCATTATGTAATTGTAAATAACTTTGTGGCCTATGCACCATAAACCTGAAATGAATTCATTTACATGTAAAGATAGCAAAGATTCAATTTTTACACAGACGATGGATTAAATTTGAAAAAGAACAACAAATAAAGCATACATTAGATCAAAACTATAATCTGGTTATTCTTGTTGGGAGAGAGTGTGGCAAAGTTTGATTTTTTTTTTTATTTACTTATCAAACAGATTGCAGAATGTCGAAGTCCAGTATCTAAAACAAGTCCCAATTGCATACACATGACTGAATTCCAAAACTTAAGGAGGCAACCAAGCTACAGACAATAAGGTGCCAATTATTATTTTAAGAAATACTTTATGCGGATCCAAATCCAAAACATCAAATTTTAAAGATGCAAGCATGCAACAGTACCATCTCCACAAAATTCACAGGAATGGGGAATTTTTCTAATTTATCAGTTTCTGGTGCAATCACTGGATCAAATGTCGTTTTACAAAACCAAAGATTCCCCCTTTTCCTTTGTAGTGTAAAAACAAAAATGTCATGTTTGGTAGCATAAGCTTGAAGCCTTGGTATTGGATTTGAAGAAACACAAATTTGAACGAAATGAATCATTTCTACCACTAATTAGAGGCCCCAATTCCATAGTACCAAATAACCAATGCTAAACCTAACAACAATGTTTCGTTCTCAAACCCAAGTAGTAACATCAATAGCAATTTTTTTCCCAGGCCATACATATCCAAAGAACGGAATACGAGGAAGGGTTAAAAAAAGGAGGAAACAAATTCCCCATCATAAAAATAATAAGATTTTACAAAAGGGAAAAAAAAAAGAAAAAAGAAAACCTTGCCGTCGGCGCAGCCAAATCCCCCAAAATCTGAGCGGTCATCCTCGTAATGTCTAGCGTCGTTCTCAGCATCCTCGAGGGGAAGCTGAACCTGAGCCAGCATGAGATAATTGGGCTCGTCCTCCGAAGTATGAGTCCCGAGAATCATCTTCTGGACCGAGTAATCCTTCCCCGGCGGCTCCTCCCGGTCCGGCAGCCACTCGACGGTAAGAGACGGCCATTCCAGAGCTTGAGTAATTACCAGATCGTAAAGGAATGGAGTGTTCTTCTTCCAAATTTTGTACTCCTCGTTAATCAGCCGCTCCTCTATTTCCCCACTAATCTCATCCTCATCTTTCCCCATTCCTAATTCTTTTCTTCAAGAATTCTTCTCTTCGGAACCTGATTGTAGTGATGATTTTCAGTCTTAGAATTCTCTATCAATTGAATGAATTTTCCCTTCCGTTTTCCTTTTTCCTGTTGGGGAGATTCGGAGAATTGGAGGGAATTTATGGCTCCGCTGACTCGTGAGGTTATCTCAAATTTTTGAAGGAAAAATTCACTTTCCCTACTTCATCTTTACCCTATTTCAAAAATAACAAAATAATTTTTACATTTCAAAAATCAGATTTTTTGATCTATATATACAAATATTTATAAATATTTATTTATTTATTTAAATATATAAAAATATA